TCCCAACAGTTCTACTGTAAACTTCAATGCAAATAAGCGTTTGATGATCAGAATGTGCTAACTTCTTGTGGTGAATTATACTAGCTCTAGTCGTTCCTGTATTGTTTGTCAAATCATTATTTGACTAAAAGTTTAGCTAAACTCACAACAACTGCTAGAACTTCAAAAAAATAATGATGAATGACTAAGGACCAAGCATTTTGCAAGCAGTAAATATGATATGTAGCAACTACAATGTGGTTATTTTAACATAAATGTTTTTCAATCACAACTAATTTTTCCTATGTGTCATATTTAAACTACGTCCTTTCCTCACCTTATGTTTTCTAATAGATAAGTCTATTTCCTCATGACTTAAATATATGAATATCCAGTGCATTTATATATTCATAAAAATAATAGCATTGTAATGCTCCTTTGTGTCTACCAACTTTTTCATATAATATTCTTTTTGAAATGTTATATTTCATATAAACCGCGCAACGCGCGGGTATGTATACTAGTGGAACATAACAAGGATACCAACTAATCACATTTCATATAAAGATAAGTACGAGTATATTTCATTCTAATAGTTTGCATTTTCTTTCACTTAGCGCCTCTAATTAATTGGATTGAACTTAAATATACAGATGGTGTAAAGATTTTTTATTTTTTTCTAGTAATATAATTTAATTCATTATAATAAGGGCCCGTTTGGCCATAAAAAAGATTCTCTTTTTTTTCTAAAATTTTTTCACTATTTTTTTAAAATAAGTGTTTGGTCATAAAATTTTTGATTTCACTTGAAGTGAATTTCAGAATTTTTTGAAAATTTAAAAAACTCCAAAAAATTATTTTTCAAAATTTTCACTTCAGATCACTCACAAAAATTCAAAAACAGCCCAAAATTATATTCATGTCCAAACACAACTATAATTTTTAAATACCATTTTCACTTAAAATTAATTTTACTTTTTTTCGAAATTTTATAATTCTTATGTCCAAACGCACACTAAATACTAGTAGTATATCTTATTTTCAGTAACTTATTTTACTTATTATGAGCAATAATTTATATTCTCTTTCACTTTATTTGTTATAATTCGATTTGGCATTATTGCCTATTTGTTTGATTAAGTCATGTGAATCTCTTAACTTTATTGGGTCAATAACAAGACAAGACACTGACATGAGCAAAAAGTTAGGAGTACTTCTTTCTCCATTCAAACTCACTTTTTACCTGTTTTTTGTCGTTTTCAAAGGAAAAAAAAAACGTTTGGTATTTATATTTTGTAATATCTATTCGTAAAAAGTTTAAATTTCGAACAAAAATAACCATTATTTAAATTATTTTCTTATTTTTATAAACTAATATGGAAGCCATACTAATATTAAAATATTTAAGATTCAAATCTAGTCAAAGACAATGTACATACCTTATAATTGAAGAGTTTAAGTAGTTTCAGCTCACGTATGATAATCGAAGACCAATCCAGAACCCATTTAATTAATTGATTCTAATTCAGAACCCATTTGATTTGCTGGTTCAAATTTTATTATTTGTACTTATTCGGTAATAGTTTAAACACATATAAAAGTTCGAATTAAAATTATTGAGTTTGAACGAACTGATAACTCTTAACTTCATCCGCCTTTACAGGACAACATCATTACCAAAAGTTATAAATCATACCAAAATACGCTAGGGGTGTGCATTCGATTTATCGATTCGATTTTGACCCTTATCAATAATTACTTATCGATTATCGATTTGTACATACGCTTATCGTTATCGTTTCAATAAGGTTTCGATTTTTTCGATTTCGATTTATCGATTTTGGGGGCTTATCGATTCGGTTATCGATTACACCAATAAAAAAATTTGCGGGATTCCACGGAAAGTATATCGCTATAAACGCGCCTAACTAATATGGACAAAAAGAAGCTAAAATAAGACGAACACCATTTATAATATAAACATTGTGTCAACAAGCACATGCAACAAAACTAAAGTAAGGGATCAAATGTATGCCACCAACACTCCAACGGTATAAAAAAAAATAAAACAAAACAAAACACATCATCACGGCTAATTCTGTTTTTCATTAATTTGAACTTCATTCCCTTGATCTTTAAATATGATCATTCCTTAAATGTGGTAGAGGAAATAATAGGGTAAGGGACTTAGGGTAAAGGAAAGGGTATAGATTAGGGAAAATAATATTGTATAGCCGCTTTCAAAATAGTAGCGGAATATATATACATTCTGTATGTTATATTAATCTACACAAATAGGTAATTGCTCATTTAACAAGTGTCTACAGTCTAGGGGTGAGCATTCGATTTATCGATTCGATTTTGACCCTTATCGATAATTACTTATCGATTATCGATTTGTACATATGTTTATCGTTATCGTTTCAATAAGGTTTCGATTTTTTCGATTTCGATTTCGATAACAAATAATCGATTCGATTTATCGATAAACCGATTCGAATGCACACCCCTAAAATACGTCAGAAATTTATATTTTAAAATTCCTTTTACGTTTTATTTTAAAAATTAGTAATATCTTTATTTTCACATAACTCGAATCTTACCCATCAAAAAAAGATTCATCCACATGTAATTTGTCCAAGACACGATCTTTTTTTTTTTAATCATTCCATATTCGAACTCGTTCAATCACATAATTTAATTCGCGTTAAATAAATTTATTAAGGAGGATAAAGCACTTACATACAAAAGATTTTCATCTCATGACCCTTAACTCAATATTTCCGGCTTGAACTTACCTTTAGAGCTTGCCGAGCTCTAGACTCGACAATGTTCACTCTTTCATTTTCAGTTGATCTGTTCTGATTCTCTTAACAACATTCGTCCGTCTGAATATTAGAACATTAACCAAAAAAATGCCCCACGTCAACACATTGCTTTCACTAGCTAACCTTTCATAGTTTTCGGAGATGTGAAATGTGAAACTCTCTTCTATTTTCCTACTTCTGGTCCCAACTTTCAGAAATGATCTATCCATGCCATCCGTTAAAAAAATGTGGATGGGCCAAATGTGTAACGGCAGTGGCATGAAATGAGCATTTTTTTTAACGGATGGCATGGATAGGCCATTTCTGAAAGTTGAGTGGCATTTTTAGGCCTTTTCCGTTTCGTTACTCATTTGTCAAGAAGTCAATTTTAGTTTTACCACACGTGAATATTTGAATCTATTTCTATTATTTTATTAATATACAATAATTACCAGGGGTGGATCCAGGTTATTATAGGTGGGTTCCCATGAACCCAGTAGCTTTTGCACATACCCTGTATATGTATTAAAACTTCTACTAAATATTTATAAATATTTGATTGTGAATCCAAATATTTATTGTATATTTATTTAAAGTTATTATAGAAATCCATAAACTTTAAATTCTAAATCCGTCTCGATAATTACACTACTACATGGAACAGCAATTATTGTCCTTCTTGTCGAACTATTTCAGTTATATATCACGTGAAGTAGCAATTATTGTACTTTTGATTTATTTTGTTAAATTTATGTACCACCTACCACAAAGGCCTTTGCTTGCTTTACCACCTACCGCAAAAAAAAAAAAAAAAAAAAAAAAAAAAAAAAAAAAAAAAAAAAAAAAAAAAACGTAAAAAACTTTAAACTTTACTTTAAACT